CCCTCAGTTTGAAGATCTTTTTTCTTGGTAAGGAAATAAAACAAATAAAAGTTGAATAATTCTGTTCTAATTTCAGTGTCTATTACTATATCATACCTTCCACCCCAAGCAATAGACCTGTCTCTTTTTAAATCATCCTCTTGCCTCCACTTCCAACCAAAGTTTGTTTTTAAAGTTCTTTTTCTTGTCTGTAGCACAGCTCATAGTCTCATTCTGAATTTTTACATTGCCGAACTTATTCTTACAGAACCTCAATCACTAGCCCTTTTTTCTATCTTTTAAACATCTAAATTAAAACAAAATTTCCTTGTGTATATTTCCTGCTCTTTTTTCTCTTTTCTTTCTTATCACAATCATTTGTGCTTCTATATTCAATTTCATTTTTGAGAATAGACTAACATCCCTTATGGACTTTTAGGCCATGGACTCCTATGCATCATTTCTCTGAACTTTTTAAAAATCTGACATCTCAAAGTCTATAATATACTGAGATTATACTTGACTCTCTCTTCCATATCTGTAGCAAAGTTGCAGATGGCATGGTAACTTCTTTTTTTTTCTTTCGGCATGGTCACTTTTTCACAAACTTCCTCTCGTTCCTACTTCAGTAAACAATTCTTCATTAGGATCAGGTCTAAGATAGCTTCTCTCCTTGAATCTCCCTCCACCTTCTGGAGGATGAAATTATCATCAAAGAAAGTTAGAAATGTGTCATCTACTCTGCTTTTAGAAGAGTAAGGTCATCTCAGTTTAAATCCCCTGTTGCTACCATATCATGCCTACTGCCTTGCTCTATGATCTGCTTCCTGAACTCATCATTTGTTTACAACTTCTGGCTGTGTGGGCTGTTTCATTCTACCACAGTATACTTTTGGTCTCTCCATTTTGTATCTTCATACAAATACTCTCCATGATAATAGATTTCTTCCTAAGAGTAAAAGTACATGATATATAATAGTACTGCACTAACCAGCTTAGCAAATCTATTAATTTTGAATGAAATTTCTTCATTTGCCATTAGTCACATTGGACCAATTGTCAATGATACTCATATAAGGCTAAATTCAGATCCTTAGGTTAAGTTATCCTTTTATTACTCAATTTCTATGCCTTTTTGCATAGACTTCTGAGGCTATAAATATTACTGCTGCACTCTTAGGTATTATCTGGGATGAATTATTGAACATCTCCACTGCCATTCTTCCTTTGTTGAACCTGGTAATATCTGTAGCATCTGGCATGCTGCATGCATATTGGAAGTTTTCTCTATAACCATCATCATCATCATCACCATCTCACATTAATGCCTGGGACCATAGTAAGTGCTATTTAAGTGTTAGTGATTTTTATTGTTATTATCATGGTGGTTATATTATTTTAGACATTAAGATTTGAAAACCTCTTTACATATATGATCTCATTTGATCCTCACATATGAGGGAAGTGCTATTAATATTCTTTTTTTACAGGTGAGGTAATTAAGGCTCAGAATGGTTAAGTGATTCACTCATGATCCACAGCTAGTAATTGTTTGAAGTAGCATTCAAACCTATGTCTTCCTGACTCACAGTCCATTCCTATCCAATACACCATACCACCCTCATTGCCCCCTTAAAGTCATTTTGATCCAATCTGTGGATTGTGTACAATTAAAAAGGTTGTTAATGACATAGTTTACTTTAGATTCTTAATCCAGCATTTATTTCTTTTACCACAGTTTTAATAGATTCAGATACTTAACTTTTATGATAAATAGTTACATACATAAAAACTTGGAAGTATGACCTGGAAAATGTGGGAGCAAATAGGCAAGGAAGTGGTCTATCGTGGGGAAAGTTCTGTAGATCCTAGATGAAACTGGATCTTTGGATCTATTTTTAGAGTTAACATAACCCCAGCCAGCTTCAGAAACAAGTTTTGAGGAATATAGAAATCACTCACAACAGAGCCACACTTTCCAGTGATACCGCATCAATCCACTAGTAAGTCCTGAGAGAGTGCCTACTATGTAGTGAGTGCAGCTCTAGGCACTTGGCAAGGGCAGGATGATGTAGATAACACAAGAACTATAGATTACAAAAAGAAGCTTACAAACTGGGAAAGGATGACTAAGGACACCAAACAAGAAAAAACTATACAAGGCAACACATTTGAAAGTTCTAATGGTATATTTGACCCTTGTGGTACTATGTGATTCCAAGTGAGGAGATTAACAAAAGATGGAGTTATTTGGGAAGACCTCCTGAAAGAGATGGGATTTTAGCTGATCTTTGAAAGATAGGGAGGATTCAGATAAGGAGACCACAAAAGGGAAAGCACTGTGAGTCTGGGGAAGACCACATATAAAGAAAAGCACAGGAGCCAGAATAAGTTATGTATATTATCGAGATAATGAGATCAGTCTGACTAAAGCTGAGGGACTGGCTTTGGAAAGTCATTGGCAATACCTTTGGAGATAAGTAAGGAGGGCAACAAAGGGCTTTGAAAGTCAGACAAAAGAGACTGGTCTTGATATGAAAAGAAAATGAAAGCCATTGAACATTCTAGAGGCCAGTAGTCACATGATGAAAGTAAAGCTTAATAAAGATTAGCAAGGCAGAGGCATAGAGGTTGGATTGAGGAGACAGACATGATTCCTAAGAGGACAGTTAGGGAACTGTTGCAATAGTAGTGATGGTGGTGGTAGTAGTAGTAGTGGTGGTGATGGTGATAGTGATGGTGATGGTGGTGGTGGTGGCAGTGGTAGTAGTAGTAATTAAATATTTAAAGGTCCAATGATTTCACTAGTATGGATACTCTCTGAATCAACCCTTTACAACCTAGTATTTGCAAATTACCATGGCCAAAACATTTGCCATTCTGCAGCCAACCCAGTAATGAGACTCTCCAAACTTTGCTAGCTTGGCCCTCAGACAACAAACATAGAATCAGGCACCAGGCCTACACTTGAAGCCTTTCCAACTTGGTAGGACCTGCCAGATTTTATGTTCCTCCAGAGGATAGCCTTCAACAGCCCAGGACCACTCCACACTGGGATGAAGAACCAGAGGAGGATTTTAGTGGAAGAAAGAAAACTGCTTATATTGATATAGCACTTTATAAGGCACTTTTCACCTATTCTCTCATTTGATTAGAGAGCAACACGATGTAGTGCAAATATCACTGGATTTGGAGTCAGGTGACCTGGGTATAAAAACCAACTCTGAAACTTATTATATCTGAGGCCTTGAACAAGTCATTCTGTTTCTGTTGACCTCAGTTTCCTCAGTAAAATGAAGGGGTTTGGCCAGATTATCTTTAGGGTCCCTTTCATCCCCAAATTTATGATCCCTATGATTACCATAATAATCTATTGAGATAGTACAAATGTTATATTGCTCATTGCTATATGAGATCAGGGAACAATTTCACTCATGTCTTCTGTATCCTTAACCCTTAACACAGTGCTTGGCATGTAGTAAGCACTTGATAAATGCTGTCTAAATTATCAATAAAGAAAATGGAGCTTAGAAAGTTTTATTGACTTGCCCAGCTCAAACACAGATCCTCTGACTCCAAAAGCCAGTATTCTTCACACTTTGATAAGCATCATTAATTCAGATCTAAGGAGATGTTCTTGATCTGAGTGAATTCCATGGAGCTGCCTTACTTTAACTTGCATCACAACAGTCATTTCAGAGCCAATCTGGAGGTAACTAGCTAGCAGGAGAGGGTAGAGTGCAGACTTGGAGGCAGGAAGACCTCAATTTAAAACCTGCTTCAGACACTTAACCAGCTGGGTGGCCTTTGGTAATCCACTTAGACTTTCATAGCCTCAGTAACTTCATCTGTAAAATGAGGGGGTTGGACTGGGTGGTCTCCCAGGTACCTTTCTAGATCTAAATCTAGCATCTGAGGTCCCTGGCTTAAGTAGAGTGAACCTAGCCTTCCTGTTACTACTTTTCTCTTTGTCTCTTTGATGATTATGTAAAAATATTTGCCAGTGTGGAGTGTAGAAAGTTTTAGGTGTGGTTTTTATTTAATTTTAATTGATGTTTCTAAAATGCCATTTTCCAATATTTCCTTAAACACTTGACCCCTCCCTTGAAAAGAAGATAATCATACCAGACTGACCAATAAAGCAAACACATAGAACATTCTGTACCTATAGTCTGAAATTTCTCCTGAGAGGAGGACTACATGTTTTGTCCCCATTCTCTCTGGAAATGAGGGAGTTTTAAATAAAAGTCAGCATTTAGATGGGGAGACAGAAAGGAAATTAAATTTCTTAAAGAATTTCAAAAAATTGGACTGTGCCTGTGAGATCTCAGTTGAATAGTGAATGTGCGTACAAGATAGCTCTCTAGCTGTGCTGTAATTTTCATAGCAGCGAGATTGCTTAACTCCATACTTAATGGATCAAAAGTAGTTTTTGTCTTTCCTCAAAATTATCCAGATAGCCCAGTAGCTGATTCATTTTTAAACAATGGTACCTATTTTCTTCTCTTTTATTTGACAAAATTTGTAGTGCTTTAAAGTTTTTTATGATAAACATGAAATTCTCCCTTGAAATATTTCTTTTTAAAAGTAGCACAGATTAGAGGCATTTTCAAAGCCCCCCCAAAATTTTTCTTGATCAATGCCAGTTCAATTCTTGAGAATAATAGGATGAGATTAATCTTGTTGATAAGCTTTTTTTTATTCCCTTACCCACCTCGATTAGTTAAGTTGTCTTTTGTGTTCGCAGAATCTCTATTTTCTTGGCTCTTTTTTTTAAAAGGACTAGAGGAGGGATGCTGTCAGGTGAGGGTCAAAATTGAAAATAAGAGGATTGACTCACCCACAACGCTTCAAAGACTTTTTTAAGTGGATATAAAAAAAATCTTCAGTGTAGATCAAACTGGGGGTGTAGAGTTTTTAATGGTATTCTTCTTTGAAGTTACAAAAGGGCAAAACCCATAAGATGGGAAAATCAGATGACAGAGAGCAACTACTGACATTTCTTCTTTTCCCCTTTGTAGGTACTATAGGCCACCTACCTTCTTCTGGACAGCTGAATTTGGTCAACGGCACACAAGTTCATCAAGACAAAATAGTTGCAGAAAATCTTCAAAGGTACCAAAATCAAATATTTATCTGATGATTAATTAAATCCCAAAGCCACCTGGACATGCTGTGTATCCTGGGTATTAAGTGAAGCTAATTATTAAGCAAGGAGGGTGGGAAGGGGGTAAGGTATTCTTCCTGGTTTCTGTGTGTCTGTATAGGAGGTAGGGAGGATATGAGTCAGGGGAAAATGAGGTTAAATGATTTCCTTCATCATTTGCTAACCTGCTAAGTGGTTATGTGAGCTAGTCACATGGTTACATTTGCCATTATATAGATCTTTTCATGATACTGAGAGACATTTCTGTTATATGTAGTTCATAGTATCTTGTAAACACTTAAAATAAGTAAATGCTCTATAACATGTAACATGTTTGAGTAGCCAAAGGTACCTTGGTAAAAAATGAAATACATCCAGATATGAAATTGACATTGCAATGAGAGTCAGGGATGCCATGGGTAATTGAAATCCAGATAATCCTTAGACCTTTCCTTCTTACCAGACCTTTCTCCCAAATGCTAATAAGTAACCAAATTCATAGAAATTTATACATCCCTTATTTTCCTTTCTTTATCTCCCCGCTGGTGAGATGCTGATGACCAAACAAATACCGAAAAGTCAGACAAGAAGAGGGAATAACAGGAGTAAAGACTTAAGTAATTCAAATACCAAATAATCAGTCCCTGAATACTTGAACAGGCTATTCTCAGAAGCAAAGGTAGCTGCATTTCTCCATGTTCATCAAGAGGTTTACCTTCAAGTCATGTTGAGTTTTATGTGGTTGGGAAAATGATGAACTTTTTGGCATAACATTTGGTATATAGAGTCTCTGCATCATCATCATACATAGCTGTATGACCCTGAATAAGTCATTTAGCCTTTGTCTATCTCTCAGTTTCTTTATCTGTAAAATTAGGATACTAGTAGTACCTACCTCCCAGGGTGGTTGTGAGGATGAAATGAGATATTTGTAGAGTGCTTTGCACACCTCAAAGCACCATATAAATGTTAGCTATGTAGATAACAAAGAGTTCACGAAGTGTTTTAATAAATGTGTGTGCATGTGTGTGTATGTGGTACAAAATCTATTGCTCAATCTTCTGGTGTTGAGTCTTTCCAAACAGCCCAGTTGGGACTCAGACAACAGACTTACAATCTATCCCTGGACCCATGCTAATAACTAGTATAGTGAAGAGAGTGATGGATTTGGAATCAGGAAAACTTGGGTCCAGATTCCACTTCTGACATTTATTTGCTATGTGATCATGAGCAAGTCATTTACCTTCTGTAAACCTCAGCTTTTTCATCTCTAAAATCAAAGGCTTAGACTAGATGATTGCTAAGGTCCCTTTCATCTCTTAGTCTATGACCCTATGGCCATTCCCACTTTGGTAGAACATTCCAGAGTTACACTCCAGTTGCATAGCTGTCAGAAACCTCCATGCCATGGTGGTATACAAGAAGAGGACTTGAGCAGAATAGGGTAATAACATTGACTTATGATTACATCATGTGTTAGGGAAGTTCTGATAGATTCAAAGGGCCACTCCATACCAAGCCACTCATTATTCACCTCTCAGTCACAAAATAATCAATACTATTAGGAAATGAAGACTATAAACTTCAGCATTTCTGTTCACAAGTTGTTCCCAATATTCCTTTGTGTCACTCATATTTGAACACAAATGATATTGGATAGAAACAATGGGGGACCAGGAAGGAAGACATAGGTCTATGTTAGCATGAAGGCAAGTTGCAAAAAACACTCGTAGGAGAGATGTGGTTTCATTTCAAGTGAGATTGTGTCTCGTGAGTCCTGGTTCAAGTCGAACTTAATCAAAAGGAATGCAATTGAAACTACTGAGTTTCTCCTGGTTTTGAACTGCATCCTTTCACTGTCTTTATATTTTGCTTTGGTTTTCATTCAGAGTCATGTGCTGTCCAATGTTTCTTTGGAACATGGTTTACAATTCTCCTTGAAGTTTATGAACTTCAAGAAAAAGATTCAGTGAATCTAGCCCAAATTTCAGTTTTGTTGTTTGTTTGTTTCTTTGTTTGTTTTAACCCAGCTCCATTTTCTAAACCTCATGAAATCAAACATTTCATTTTCATAACACAAAAGACAAGTAAAGAATTGGACCTTGAAATGTATGGGTTTGAGGAGGCTAAGTTTCCTAACATTGTTTACAGTGCCTGGCATATAGTAGGTGCTTAATAAATGTTTGTTGACTGACTGACTCTGACTCTGGGCCTTAGGGTTTGTCCCAAGATGCCATGGAGTTTTGTCCATATCAAGAATGTGAACATATTAGTGAAGTTCACCAATTAGCCTAATTGTTTAGTAACTCGTTGATGAAACTAAGCTATGCTAAACTCTCATTCAGTAAACATGTATTGTTATTTTAAAGAACTGCACTAGACACTGAGAGAGAAAACAAAATATAGATCTCTGTCTAGAGATAGTCTCTGTCCTTATGGAACTTTAAGTGAAATAGGGGCACATGACACATTCCAGTGTTCCAAGGTGACTGACTCAGCAACATAGCTTTGAATTTAGTGCTATCAGCAGCTATGAAGTACACACACACACACACACACACACACACACACACACATTTTTAAAAGTGAAAAAAAACTGCAAGAATTAACAGGCTGTACATTTGGTAATTAAAATTCCTTAAAATAATTTCATGTGACCAGGTCAGAAAGACCTATAAAATACTTACAAATTAAAAGTAGTTTGTACCAGGGTTGCAATAAATGGCTAATCCTAACCAACATAGTTATTGCACTGCTCGTCAGAGGGAATCAATATTTCAGACAATTTCCTACTTTTTTATATAAACAAATGAACATTGAAGCAAAGGGAAGGCCCAAGATACCTGTGTGGATTTGCATTCTTCCTAGTGTGGGTTTTCCCTCCAATAATGCATATTGCAACCCATTTCTACCTGCCTATCTTATATTATTCTTGTTTACCTCCTATAAATCTGCCACAAGGGGTCTGTGTGCCAGGTGTCATTCCTCAAGTTCTCATGACTTTACACACATATGAATAAAGTACAATAACTGTCTTCTGGTTGTCCCTCACTCTACTCTGAGACCAGTTTGCCATTTTTTCCAGGGATTTATTTTTCGGATGGCATCCCTTATGTCACCTCTATATAATTCCTCTTTTTTATGTATTGTGGCCTGCTTGCACTCAATATGTGCCTTTCCATTGGCCATTACGTGATCCTCTACTTTACAGCACAGACACAAGCACACATAAGTACAATACACACATGGTAAGTACATGAAAGATGTATACAATAAAATGTGATGTGAAATCTAAGGTTGTTATTGACGGGGAGGAATTGGGAAAGGCTTCATACACGAAGTGACATTTTAGTTGGGCTTTAAAAAACATGCACAGGATTTCAGCATCAGAGGGCAAGGAAAGGCATTATAGGCAGAGGGGACATCATGAGCAAAGGAATGGAATCAGACAAAATTCAGTAAGAGAATTTCTTACTGAAATGTATCTCATTATATTATATCACAAAAGGAATGGCATGCAAGAAATCATTCAAAATTAAAGTTCTCAAGAAAGATAATAGCTCAGAAGACATCAGTGGCTCCCTTTTGCCCATAGAACTCCTTAGCCTGGCATTTAAGACCCTATACAATCTGGCTTCAACCTACACTTCCATCCTTATTTCATACTATTTCCTGACATGCATTCTAAATTCCAGACAAACTGGACAGCTAGTACTTTCAAAAGATCAGTGTATCCCCTGCTACATTCTTCCATACATACGTATACCATTCCTCATGCTTGCAAAGGACTCTCATGCTTCATTGTCAATTGTTGACACTCTTTTCATTTCAAACCCTGGCTCAGGCAGTACCACCTCCAGGAAGCCTTCCCCAATCTTACCAGTTAAAACCAATTATTCTTCCTAATATTTTCTGTATCTCTCCTCTGTTCTTGTCAAACTCTACTGTTTGATATGCTTATTTGTATGACAACATGCTTTTAGACTCTAAGACTAAGTCCTTATGAGATCACTCCATTTCTCATCTTTGTATCTAGAACAATTCCTTGCAAAGAGTTGACACTTCAAAACCTGATAGTTAAATCAACTCGTTCAAGCAACGGAACTCATTTTATCTTTTATCTTAAAGTTTTTCTATCTTCTCAAACACATTGAGTAATACCAGTTAGATGGCTGACTGAACCTTTTCCATGTATGTGAAATCATTTGCCAAAAATGTGATATACCAGTAGGTTTCCTATGAAAAAGAAAGAAATATAGATCTTGATGATTCAGACCATTCAGGATGACTCATGGAATTGGATGGGAAGAGACTTATTAAAGGTCATCTTATCTACTCTACGGGAAAATTGTACTCTGTAGCACATGCTTTACTTTGAGTCTTTAAAGATGAGAGTGTTGATAACAGTATTCAGTTTTTACATTAAAAAGTTATCTTTCATTGAAAGCTCCTCTCCCCTTGATTTAATAATTTTATATTTCATGGAACAACTTCTCTTCTTTAGGCCCTATCCTTTATATGTCAGTTCCTCCTAACAGAGAGGCAAGAATTTTTCATTCTAATTTAGGAACTAAACTGAATCACACATTAACAGAACACAATTGTTTAAATCTCTAAGCCATTAATGTGACCTGGCACCATGCTTTACCACACTTTGGTGTAGGAAACTCACGGGAAGTTTTATGGAGCCCTGCTCCTCTTCCTCTCACCCTATCACAGGCAACCCAGTTAGTTTCACATCTCACTTTCTTCTAGAATTTCTGACCTCACAGATTTGGGACTTGGCCATGCTATAGGTTTGACAGATTTAACACATATTCTTTTTGGGTACCCTGGGTGATATAATGATAAATAGCAAGAAGTATAAGGCCCCTCTGGGTTAAACAATTCCCCTGATGCTTTATTTATTTCTGACTACTTCCCTACTGATGCCTCTTGTATATGATAGAGTCCTGTCATTGAATCTCTA